TCAAGTAACCCCAACATCAAATGAGATTAGGGACATAACAGAAAACACTAGGAATTGTCTCAAATTTGAGTAAGTGGGTGAACCAATAAGATACCAGAGAGATTCCATAATTTATTTATTTAACAAGGGGGTACGCGATAGACTTACCTCCAAGTAGTGCACCCTGGGCAACGTGTACTCACACGGCAAAAAGTCTATTATTCGGCAGTTGACTTCTGGCTTCAAACTACCATCACCCCACTGTATGCCATATTCGACCCCTTCCAATGTACTCATCTTGCTTTATCTCTGACTGTCCGTCTCTTTTAAATATGTGAATTACTCTTCTATTCCCCATCTCGGCTTTTTGTCACTTTGATGTTCCTCCTTTTCTTTGTAAAGCCCAAAGTCAACTAAAGAGCTAATGATAACTATCAAAACGCCTGCCATTTGAAATAAATAAACAAATTTATTTAACAATTGACTAAATTCATTTATCTAAATAAGCTCCCCTGTTGACCATGCACTTTTGTAATCTACATTTCCACCTGTAAATTTTCTCATGACAGAATTTTTGGGGCTGCCTCTGGCTTCATGGAATTACATGCCTTTTTACTTCATCTTAATACATAAATCGAGTGCCTTTAAGGTGTTCTTTCAGTTTTGGAGACAAAAAACAGAATCTTTTAGCTTTGAACTCGACAGATCCAGATGTTCCTATTGGCTGCCGCTCCATCGATTAAACTTTGCTTTTCGGAACAAATAGGTAGATTCAGGTTTTATCTCCAGTAACACAGAGTCCACATAAGCCTGCTGCAAAGCTTCTATGATCTGAAGGCTTCACCAATTTAGTTTTGCTAAAAATGTCATGTTAGCTCCGATCTCAAGATTTGCCATTTGAGGGACCGAAAATTGCTAGCAACTTTTAGATGTAACCTGTCCTGATCCTGATCTAACTTAGAATTATCGGACAGTTTTATGTTATTGTTATTGCAAAAACTTGCAAGTCTTTGTTTTACTTAAGGTTATGTGACTCACCCTTATAAATAGGGTTAATGACCCGAGGAGTACTGTTTCTTACCAGTACGATTGACCTTTCCTAATTAAAATGCAAGTACTCGTTGCGGTAGAAAAGAACTTGTTGTTGAACTCCAAGCTCAAAAGTGGAGAAGGACCCATGGATTCAATGACGTTGCTCACAATATCTTTTGGAATCTCCTTCATCCTTTTGCCCATGATTTCAGTTACTTCCATACAAATACATCATGTATTGCTGCGTAGTAGTAGTAGTAGTAGAAATGCGAAAGGAAAACCGAGAACAATGGGAATGCAAATAGCGTGATCCGACTGATTCAATCGATTGCCTCCTAATATAAGGAAGCGCATTCGTTCACCATTACATGTTCCAACTACTGGAAAGATCGTCAAACAACTCGAATTCCAATTAATGCAACATGCTACGTCATTTACCTCCATATTTCATTATCAAGAATAGCGATAATTCAATTATTTGACTTTAAACAGGGATCCACATTCAAAACTGTAAAAAGAAGCCATCTCATGTAACCTTGAAGGAATCAACCTTACTTCAAGACGCCATGAATTATAATTTTATAGGTAATTTAAGTAAGAAGACGACCTACTTTTTTGATTGCGATGTTCAATGAACCAGATGCCTTGCCACGTTCCCAGATTCACTTTCCCATCAGTTATGGGGATGGTCACGTTGGATCCGCTCAATATGGCGTGTTTGGCATGTGCTGGCTAAACAAGGGATCAAAAATCAAACTGTCGACGCAACAAACACTCACGTACCATATCATCGGGACCTTCACAGGCATGTTTGTATTTTAGATTCTAGAGGGGGTGAGCAAAATAAGGTTACAATGATTTTGAAGCAGCTTCAGGAGAAAAGCGAGAACAAAGAATAGGAGCCTACCTCAGGAATTAGACGATTAAGCAGCATTTCAATATCGTCTCTAGAAATTGTCAAGAGGTAAGACAAATCAGAAATTACTTGACGTCACCGTCCCAACTCTAGAAAAGGAAAAAAAGACAAATGAGGTGGGACAATTGCTTCATGAAGGTAGGAGGAGGAGGAACAAGTGGAGACAAGAGCTTACCTCATTCAGAGTAATGCTGCAGGAGGTATGTTGCACTAAAAATACAAATAGTGTCAAAAAAGTGGCTTCAGGTACATGATGAAATATTGCCAGTGTGACAGTCGGGTGAATGGAATGTGAATTGCAAACAGCGTGGGAGAGGAAGACAGATTTCGTGAATTACTTGCCAAATACCAAGTCACAAAATAACCGAAAAAAGCATGACCTTTTGACAACTAAGGCGTCAGAAATGTGAACTGGAGTATGACCTTGAAATGTCTGTCAGACTAATAAAGTTGGAATTTAAAAAAAGTCATGGAAAGAAAACGGATCTTTCAACCTGCGTACAACGAGATGATTCAGTTCAAACGATGAGATTTCTGTTTAGTTGGCATGACTTTATAGACTATTCTTTTACTTATGGTACTTTATGAAAGCAAACAGGAATTTAGATGAAAATCTCTCCAACGGCACAGTAGCGTACACTCATCCAACATGACACCTTGACGTAACCTAAGATGCTTTAAAGATGCAAGTCACTGAATACTTCTTTTTCTTCACTCAAATGATGGCCTGCTATTTCACTGAGGCGTCATTCAATCCAGAATGTATAATAGTACAAATGGTAGTGGCCAAATTTTAATCAGATTTAACGTTGTCTTGATTATAACCGCGAGATCCAGGTATTCCGGTTAATAGAAGATCTGGCACTGGAATGGCATTGCCGAAAAAAGTTGAACTAAACAACGCGGACACAAAGCCCACTCTCTCAGTCGGCTGAAAGTTAAAGCTTTAATTTCTGAAATTGGAACGCTCGAATGCAAAATGTAAAGCATTTGCAAAGAAGAAAATCAAACTAAATTAAAAGAGAAAGCCCCTTTTATAAGAAATTCATTCTCAACTTGCACTACAGTCAAAACACATAACACTACACAACTGAAGTGAGAGAATTCCAACCCAATATCCCATACTAACTGACGCAAAAAAACTGAGAAAGGAGAACGGTAAGTTAAATTTTTCTAACCCACCCCAATTCTCCCTTTAACCACCTCAGTAATAATTAATTAATTAAGGAAAAAAGGAAAGAAAGCCAACGAGTCAGGGGGGGGGGTGTGGGGGACGAATAGAAAAGGCAAGTTGCAGGCTATTAAAAAAAAACTCACTAAACAAATTAAGAACGCCAATTTTGATTTGCGTGATTTCTGGCATGGACTTGATAATATCCTCCGTGACGTAATGACAACCGCGGGGTCGCGGTGCGAGTACTATGGTTCGCTGATACCAAACAGTGCCCTCGCCGGTGCTTGCCATTGTGGAACTTTAAAGCTAAAATGGTGCCGAAAAGTAGGTGTGGTCAGGCTTTATCGCGGTGAAACAAAATACATCGCGCATGCACACAACAATGTATTCAATGCCAATATCAGTAGAACCATCATCATCAAAGTGAAAAAAAGTCGAGACTGGGGGGGGGGGGACAGAAGAGTGTTTCAAAGACGAAGGTAGAAAAAAGGTGAGGTGAGGACTGTGGAAGTAGTCGAATATGACATGCAGCGAGGTGATGGCAGTTTGAAGTCAGAAGTCAACTGCCGGTTAATAGACTTTTTTGCCATATGAGTATACGTTGCCTATGATGCACCGCGCGGAGGTAAGTCTATCGCACACCCCGGCAGGTTGAAAATTAGTTTCCAATAAAATACTCATACGCGAGTGCAAGTACTCAGTGTGTCATGCAGAACAAGAATTACGTTGATGCTAATATCGGAGTGAATTCAATAGAACATTTTGAATCAAGGCAAGGGGAGGCTTTTTATTTAATGGTCTCTTTTGGAAATAGCGAGAAAAAGTTACTCTACACTAAACTAGTACTTTTGACGCACTTGAAAGAAACTTCTGAGCTTTGTCACCGATGAAAAAGATTAATTATTACGGAATTGCTATGCTTAACCCTGGATATACTTCAATTACTGACGACAATGCACCCCTTTTCAAATTGTAAATTCATAGATCTTAATAGAAGGCTCCATTGTTTGAGCTGAAAGTCGTCATCGTCATATTCTTCTTCCTGATGTCAGATGGGCAGTAGTTATACGAAAGGGCTACTGAGCACAAAGTGTGTATACCATACTTATTGAAAGCGACAAAAAATCATAAACTGGGAATGTCTGCAAACAAATACCTTAAGCATGTTCCGAAGGAGAGGCCTAGTTTAAAGTAAGATGCCTGTGTGGAATCGCTAGACACATAGATAAGGAAGATAACCAACAATATGTCGTACGTATAGTGGCAGCAGCAGAAGTAGCCAAACCCTCCCCCCGTCACACGTCAAAGAAAAGTGAAAAATGACTATCAGCCAATGTTTATGACTAGACCAGTCCTAATGAACGTTTGACTTCCAAACTGCCCCAGATCTAAACTCTATGAGCTACTATGTACGCATTGAAAGCAGTTGTGAAACACACTAATCACCGTGGTAGCACAACGGAAAGAAATCAATTAATGGAAAAGCGGGAAGCAGTTTATGAGAGCTTCCTAATGAAGGCGCAAAATCATGGATCGAATTGTGGTGATGAAATGGAAGCAGGAAGGGGCTAGTAAAATGGAAGGGAGAAATTTAAGGAACTCATAGATGTCCCCAACCAAACATATCCGGAAATTCACACCAAAAAACGTAAAAGTGGATTGAGGTGCTAATAAGACAAAAAACAGTATATATGAATAGTTAATTAATCACAAAGAAACCCGACAGGTTTTCAGGGATAAGGGATAATATCGCAGAAAAGCAATTGGAAAGATAACTTAGATTTCAAACAACAATCAGTGAATAATAGGAAGCATGCAATCCATCAGTAAAGAGAAAAGTTGTGAAAAAAATTTTATTTCAAAAAGTATAAAATACATCAATTTTGGTAGGAAATTATAAGAAACTTTACAAGTATTACAACTTCAAGAGTGGGTATCACGATAACCTATCACGGAGACGTGCAGGTGTTCGAAAATTCCCGAATTCAATGCTGCCTGGAGATTGTGGCGGAGTATCTGGAGCCAACAGAGAAGACTCCAAAGTCAGCCTACGTTCAAATTTGGTATTCAATCGAACTGAGATGAAGTTGTTCGGGGATGGAGCTTTTCTAATTTGATTAACTGGTGAGGGAGTAAAGACTTCATCCACTGCTGGTCTAGAAGGAAAGGGAATTGAGCGCCTTGAAAAATTATCACGAGAAAGTGTCTAACCAATCTAGCTCGTGAGCTATGACACTGGGTAGGTGATTGGATTGCGTAGTGATTGGTCAGGAGTATATGAACCAATCAGAAGAACCCAAGGGCCCATATTCGTTGTCAGGTTTGAGTTGAAATAAACGTCATAAATGGCACTTACGTTAGCATTATTCGAGGCCAAAGTAATGGCAGTTAGCGAAATTACCACCGGGGATATTTGTAGCCATAAATAATGAGATAAATTAACATAAATGGATCACAATAAAATTTAGATTAAAATATATTCCAAAAACATGGAAGGCTAGGTTCTTCAGAGTAACCAAGATGCAAATATCTGCTTTTATCAACTTAAACATTTGCAATTAAATTATCTATGGAGAAAATAAACTGGGAACACAAAACAGGTGGAACAAATGCTTTAATGTTCTTTGTGCGAATTTCAAAAAAAGAATATCCATTTTTCTTTAAATGGAACTAATAATGGAAACCATTCGAACGATGTCCAAGTTTCCTCAAAAAAAGAACAAAGGTTAAAGGGAGAGATGTCAAAATAGAACTCCATTCAGACCTAAGATCACTGATTTTTTTAAAAATAATTGGATAGAGATTTAAAGCGAAACAAGAGAGTCAAAAAGGCCAGAATAAGAAAGTCATCACAGCATGAAGACACAATTGGACCTCAGGATAATACCATGGCTGCAACTGTTGGAAAGAAAAATGATTATTCAAGATTCCTGCATGGGCATAGCGTGTGTTGGAGTGTTACTACATAGCTCCCACGTCAAAAAAGAGGACGACCAAAAACAGTCCGAAAGGAGTAAATAAGGACAACAAAATCTCTATTCTAGTAATAAACAAAAAAAATCAATATTCAAATTTGCAAAACAAGAAACTTTTCAAGGTAGAAAAGCAACTAGGACTATTTAGTAATAAGTAATTAGCAGATACGAGTTGTACGAAAGTTATTTTAAGGGTTAGTTCACGCTCATAATTACAGTTCACGAATATTCATCACTTGAATTGATGAACAAATCAGCTCATCCCTCCTCCAACTTCGAAGTGGCAAATGCATCCACTCAACACTGGTATCCATCAAGAATACAATGTGAAGAAATAGAAGAATAACTGCTCCATTCTTGTGCCTCAACGAAAGGCTTTCACGCATTTTGCAATTCATTTACAAATTGGCCTTGAGCTCAAATTCGAGAGACCATTTGTCTCTTCAAATCGGCGGATTTGGCATAACTATACGAAAGCACATATTGGACAGAATAAAATATTGGAAGAACGATTGGCGGGTTATAATCCATGAAAAGATTTTAAGCTGGTGGTGTCTGAACAGTGATTAGTACGACGATTATAATCAGTCAATAAGGACAATTCCCCTTTTTGAAAGTTATGATGGACAATTTCTTCAAACAAACCAATAAACCCATTTACCTCAATTGGAAACAGAGAGCCACCCAAAACAGATGAGATAAACGAATGTAGAAAACTCTATCAGTTGCTAAGAGAGAAAAACAAAATAGTGGTCCTACAATGGATTCCTGGTCACTGTGGCATTAAAGGCAGTGAGCTTGCTGACACACTTGCTAAGAAGGGGACAACGATTTTGCAATGCATGGACCGCCCGATGTCTTTCCATACAATGAAGGCCTTAATCAGAAGAGAATTCCAGACCTCAAGGTGCAACGAACTTAAAGCTCGAACAAATGAGAAACAGTGGACAGTGGCACTCTCCAATATAGCCGACTTGCCAAGAATCGAAACCGTTGCTGAGTTTAGACTACGCACCGGACACGATTGTTTGGCAAAACACCTTCACAGATTGGGAGTATACACTCAACCCGCATGCCCCCTATGTAACCTACATGAGGAAATGGAGAAGACCCACCTGATTCGGTGTCCAGCCCTAAAGACAACGACGGAAAACCAGAGATACTGGGAAGCAGGAAGACAGCTAATGAATTG